GAACAAAGATATCTTATTGACTTGTAGAATTATTTTAGAATAGAGTACGAAAAAGAGTATATAAATCTATGCCTACCCCTTGTATTTATAGACCCAAGGACATGGTAATCCAGAAAGTAACTGGGAGCCAAACATAATACCTAGTAGAATAGGAAAACCCCTAAAATTAAATAGATTTAGAAAGCAGGGCTAAAACCAATTCCCTATAGGAATTCAAGGCATAATTTTACAATTTCCACCTTGACTTGAATTCTCTGAAATCACTAAGAATCACTCCTTCCTGCTACCCAGGCCCTTGGGACCTCATACTACGTGGACATTCACCAAGTCAAAGCTATGCTTGAACTTCTCTATAGGTAACGACGTTGTGAACATATTTGTTGGATTCTCTGCAGTAGCTATCTTATCAATATACAAGGCATAATTCTCTTTAACATCTCGACTGAAGTTCAACTTGACATAAATATATTTGGACCTTTCATAATAAAGTGAATTTTTCGCCAAGTCCAGTGCACTTTGAGTAGCACAATAAAGATAGGTATTTGAACTTCCAAACCGAAACTAGCAATAAGACGATACAACCATATTCCTTCTTTAATTCCCTTTTCAAGGACATGTACTCTGCCTTAGTGGTAGACAAGGCAACGGTGGATTGCAGAGTTGCCTTTCAACCAACAACACATCCAAATTGAGCAAAGATATAGCATGTCAATGATCTTCTCTTTATAAGATTATATAGTCAGAATCTACACAACCAACCAATCGATCACCAAACTTATTACCACCATAAGTGAAACAGATATTGCTCATTCCTTTGTCACATAACCCATTTGACTTCTTCCCACTGAGCTCTTCAAGGATTGCTCATAAATCTGCTTACCACACTAATCTGTGTGTGCCAAGTCAGGTCTAGTACATACCATTGCATACATCAGACTTACAAGAACATTAGAATAGAGAACCTTACTCATGTACTCTTTCTCTTTTCCTGAACTAATATCATTAGTAAATTAACTAAAAATGTTCTGATTATTATTGAAAATTATTTGGGGGTGCAAATTTGAAGTAATTGTAACTTTTCACTATTAACTATAGTACAGTTGTAACGAAAAAAGGAAATCAAGAGGGCGTTGCCACAATAACTAGCCCCCTCCTGGCTACGCCAATGCCTGTTTCAAATGTTGAAAACATATGGTTTCATTGATCTTAAAATTGCTATATGACATTAACTATCAAATTATGAATCTCAGTGTTGGTATTAAATGCTTGTTTTCTTTATTGTTTATGGCCCATGTACATTTTTGTTCTAGATCTGTTATTGCATGAGGGTTTAAGTAATTATAATTATTAATTTCCATAAATCGTGATTTCAAAACTATGTTTCAAATCAAGATTACTATCGTGTGAAAGACTCGAATCAAAACTATCATGCAGTTTTACCTTCTACTTTTGTCACAATACTTCCTCACATAACTCTATCTAAACAAATTATTGTGTACCACCCAATGTTCACATGAAAGTTCCCAAGCCAGTTACCAATATGATCTGCCGGGAGCACTTGTCATCCCTGGATGACTATTATTAGAATCTTACTTGAAAAGGGAAAAACAACAACAATATATCAAAAACTAGATTCAGTCAACAATATGATGGAGGAGGAGGATTTCCAAGAACAATCTGCTTCTGCTGACAGAAGTAAATATGTGTTAAAATTACTTTGAACTTGAAAAAAAATGAAAGACACTTTTCACATTGGAAATGGTAGCCTAACTTAACCAACATATAAGTCCCATGTGCTACTCCATTCATTGCCATTTGGTTTTGCGGTGCAACTAAATGTGGTGCTCCACCTCATTCCTAACTGGTTTTAGGGTTTTTGGTGGACTTTAATCGATCCTTCAGTTTCTCAATTTGACTGACCTGTATTGGACTTTGATTTACTCGCATTGAATTTTGACTGACCCATCGGTATATATGAGGAGTTCAATTTAGCCACTATTGGGCTTTGATATATACCCATATTAGATTTTGATTGATTCGACAGTTTATCCAGAGTTTAAAAGGTACAAAAGGAACTTGTCCAGTTCCTTTGACTAAAGAGGAGGGTGCTAAAGTTGCTTTGAACTTGAAAACAAATAAAACACATTTTTCCCACATTAAAAATGGTAACTCAACTTGACTAACATGTAAGTCTCATGTGCTACTCCTATAATTGCGAATTGTTTTTTAGGTGAAACCACACGTGGGCGTATATGAACCTTCAAGAATATGAATTATGGTCATCTTGATAAAGTGACTATATGAGAAGAGAGGGTTTAGAAACTATATACATGCACTACTGAAAACATACGCAAAAGTGTTTTTGAGAACCAAATAATGGTTCAAATACTTAGAATAGGGAAATTGTATTGAATTCATAATAATGTTATGTACAATATACAGACTATATATAGATAATAACAACCTCTAAACAAGGACGTTATAGGAAATATTCTAAATATTACAATACGCCCCCGCAAACTTACGGCGGAGAAGAGAGAAGCCGAAGTTTGTCCCGCAATCGAAAGAAAAACTCTTTGGACAAGGGCTTTGTCAAAATATCAGCAAGCTGATCAGCAGCAGAGATAGACTTGACCGAAACAAACTTTCGCCGAACATGATCGCGAACAAAGTGAAAATCAACCTCAACATGTCTGGTACGAGCATGGAACACAGGATTGACAGCAAGGAAAACTGCATTACTGTTGTCACACCAAATAAAGGAGAGAAAAGAAAGAAAAAAAGTGAGTTGTTTTAAACCTAGCTCTAATACCAACTTAGAATAGGGAAATTGTATTGAATTCATAATAATGTTATGTACAATATACAGACTATATATAGACAATAACAACCTCTAAACAAGGACGTTATAGGAAATATTCTAAATATTACAATACAAATTACATATGCTTGGTTTTCTTTTAAAAAAAAGAACTCAAATCAAAAAGAAAAAAAATTCCTAGTAAGTGCTACGCCACTGGTTAGATTCAGATTCAGATTTAGCCCAATTAGAGGTCATACAGAAGGTAGAAGGGTGGGCTACTTTAACAAATGAGTTTTGACAGCTGATGAGTTTCTAGAAAATCTAAAATGACCAACCCTAAAAGGACCCAACCCTAAAAGGACGTAGTAATATATAGGAGGATCGAGGAAACGTTAATGAATGAGTTCGGATTGGGTTGGACCAATTTTGCGACCACTTACCAAAGCAAAGATCCTAAAATCAGTTCGATGCGGCTATTTATTTTGTTTTCTTTTTATTACTATCCTATTAATAATTTGCAACCCAGGCTGTTTATTTAATCAGATAAGTTAACTCAAGCAATTGATTGTATTAAAGTAAATATAATGATACAACAATGTGAGATATATAGAGTATTAAAGAACCCTATTTTACAAGGTTCTAGAATTATATTGACACGCTCCGCAAACTAAAGACGGTACAGGTATCAGTCAAAGTTTGCCAAAGAAATGTTGAAATAAAGGTTCCATCAATGGCTTAGACATAAAATCCGTAAGTTGATCAGCGGAAGAAAGAGAGTGCACAAAGGCAAAGTCATTCTTGATATGCTGACGGACAAAGTGAAAGTGAATCTCAACATGACAAGTGCGAGCTCGAAAAACTTAGTGTGAAGCAAGAAAGACAGCGCCATGATTATCACACCAAATAGAGGGTGGCTGATGAAGTAACACACCATGTTCGGAAAAAAGCTAACACAACTAGTGAAACTCCATACAGACATTTGCAATAGAGGGACGCTCAACTTCGATAGAAGAGCGGGCAATAGTAGGTTGCTTGCGAGAAACCCAAGAAAGCAAATTATGCCCAAAGTAGACATTATAATCTTATCTTTCCCTCCACCCCAAAAAATTGTTCAATTTTTGTTTTAGAATACTAAAGAGATAATTTTACCTTTGAGGCTTTTATAATTTTATTATTACCATGTAAAATTGCGATAAAACAGGTCTAGAATAAAGACATGAAAAATTTGAAAATGGAGGTTATGAGGAATGGAGTGGAGGTCAGAGCCACAGCCTTGCACAGGATTCGTTGAATGAGTTCATATATTGACAAGCTAGGTACCAAAGTGATGTGGATGTAATTTATTTTAATTTTTTGTCTTTGGCATTAAATGGAGATAAAATGTTGAAATACCTTTTATAGAAGAAAATATAATATTTATTGCATCCACTTAATGGATAGCTCACTTGTCACAATACATTGATTGAATCTATGTAATAAAGATGAACATTTTTTTTTTTGGGACTAGTAAAGATAAAGAGTGTGATTCTATAGGAATTCGCTAGCTATATGCTAAGTCGATTATATTCACAACTATTATTACAGATCAGTTTACAAGAGTGTTTAGATAACGAGTTTCAACAAATTAGTGAAGTTGATGTCACATGGTAATCACAATTATACAAATCAATTACAAAGATTTTTTTTTATTTCTCCTATTTCATTAACAATCATACATGGCAAAAACATAAATTGCTTTAATGAACAAAATCATAATTTCCCACTTTTGGAATTCACCAAAAATTTGCATCTCTGCTTAATAGCGATTCCTAGCCCCCAAATTTGCTTATAAATATGAATAGGAGTTGGCTCAAAAGTTCAATCACAAACAACAATTCATGAATTTTGAACAAGCTAGAGCGCAATACTAGCCAGGTAGATTTCCTATTTTTTATTTTTTTGTTCTTTTCATTTTATATTACACTGTGTATTGTTTAAAATTTTCTTGGAATTAATATAAAACACTTTTTGTATTTTTTTGTGAAGACAAATGAAGTGTACATGGATAAGGTCTTTATATTGTTTAATGATTGTTGTATCGTTTTTTTATTATAATACTGTTGTATCATATGATTTCATTTTCTTTTAATTAAACACGTTTTAAACTTTTATTGAGTACAAAGGGAAAAAGAAAAAAAAAAAAGAAAAAAGATACACGATGGACTTAACAGTTCCTGGAGGAAATGGTGGTGGTGGTTCAAGTGATGAACATAACCGTGAAGATGCATCAAACCCAAGAAGAGGCCAAAAGCTTTATCATCGTCACTCTGCCGATATCATCCAACACCTTGAAGCGTAAGTATTTGATGATGAACTACCATGTTTTTTGGGGATAACAATTTCTTAAGGCAAATTACACGTGTGTGTGTGTTTGTGCATTCTGTAATTGTGTTTTTCATGTTATGTACAAACTGTACTCATGCCCTACATGAATAAATTGTGTCGTATATGAAGATTTGGATTTCAAAAGATATGTTTCTATATACCCGAGAATTACCAGTGTTATGTTTAATTATTACTAGTTTCCATTAAATTTGGTTAATTCTTAACAGTAAATAAATAGAAAGAAAAGTTGGCCTAAGTGCAAGAGCAAGAATCAGATTTTTCGATTCGGTATACACCATCTTCTATTGGATTCCAATTGTGTTTCTTTGTATTGGATAGTTTTCAACAGTTAATTAATATTGTGCTTATTTTTCAAACTAAAGTTTAATTAGATTTTCACTCGTTATTTTAAGTCTTTTTTAATTTTTTTCCTTTACATTCTGGTGTTTTAAGTCATTTTTTCCTAATCTTCCTTTTTCTTTTCAAAAATAGATTGGCTTAGTTACATTCATTCTGATGGTATATTTTCTGACAATTCCTTAATTGATTTTAAATGGACCACCTTTAATTGAGTAAAACCAAGTAGTGATCATATAACTATACTTTTCTCTTTGGCAATTCGATGAATTAAATATGTAAAGAAAGTTTTCCACCATGAATAACCCTAGATTTTCCTTTTAAGAAAATTATATGTATCTAACAAAGCTTTTAGGAAAACTACATCAGGACTTTTTTGGCCTCCGTCAAAAGTTCTTCATATAAAGTTCCCTTGCTAAATTTCAGGTTTTTTATGGAGAACCAACATCCAAATGAAAGCCAGAGACAACAGTTAAGTAGGGACCTAGGGCTTGACCCAAGACAAATCAAGTTTTGGTTTCAAAATAAGAGAACACAAACAAAGGTACTGCCATTAATTAATTTTGGTCAACATTGGTGGACATTTTTTTCCAATTAAATTTTTGAACTTTCTATGTACTTTGATTTAATTGTGTCGATACGTTAATGCTTTCTCCTTTTTCTTTATGTGACTTTTGTTATGAAAATGTTGCAGGCTAACATTGAAAGAGTAAGCAATGTGACTCTAAGAATAGAGAACCAACATCTTCATTATGAGAACATGGCAATGCATGAAGCCAAGGCCCATCTTTTGTGCAACAAATGTGAAGGTTTATGTCATGGCGGTAGCAAAGAAGCCAGCCATCAATACCTACAAACGTTAAAAAATGAAAATGAATTTTTGCAAGGAGAGGTTAGTTTTTACTTTTTAATGTCATATGATTATATTACAAGAACATTAAAATCACTGTTCAATAATGCATGCCTCTATGTGTGGTTTTCCTTTTTTTTTTTTTTAGTGTGAAAGAATTCAAAGAATGATAGCAAACACTCAAGGAAGAAAAGATGGTCTAAACTCTAGGCCTTTGTCAAACAACATTCCTAATGAATTCGCTGCAAATTTTGGGAAGAGAATCATAGGAGGAGAAAACCCTAGCAATAGCAATACATTATTTGGTATCGATCTACCAAATATCTTGGGGTTAGGAAAGCAAACTGTAGATCACCAGAATCAGTTTCCTAATATACAAGATATGGAACAATCTGTGTTTGTTACTAACGCTACTCAGGCAATGGATGAACTGGTTTTACTTGTCACTACGTATGACCCAATATGGATTAGATCTCCAATTGATGGGTCATTCATGATTCACCATGAGATCTACAAGATGCTTTATCCAAAAATGATATACGTTAATTCTCCAACGACTTGGATTGAATCATCAAAAGAATCAGGGGTTCTGCTTGTGTCAGCTTCACACTTGCTTAATGTCTTTCATGATCCGGTAATTTAATGAGTACTATAAACTTCTCTTATCCGTCTTTTTTTGTGCTTATTTGTTTAAAATTGACTTGTTTTTTATTATATTTTGTAGGGGAATATTATGGACTTTTTCCCTACAATTGTCACTGAAAGTAAAAAGATCGAAACACTTGATACCCTAGGCCAGGAGGGTACTTTATATTTGGTATGAAACTTGGAAAGTAAAGTTTTGATTTGAGTGTTTGTTGATTTTGATTTAAATATAAAATTATCAACTACAAGAGAGTAACACTATGTTCTTTTCTAGATGCATGAGAAGTTGCACGTGCTTTCGCCCTTGGTGTCACCTCGTGAATTTATTTTCTTTCGATACATAAGGCAAATAAGTTCAACAAGATGGATCATAACACAATTTTCATATGATTTCTTCAAGGAAGTAGACCCTTCAACTTCACAGGCATGGTTGCTACCATCAGGTTGCATGATCGAGGACTTGTCCAATGGAACATCAAGGGTATTAATTCATCTATATGCATTATTCTCTCAACTTATTAAAATTAACCCAAATATCTAAGTAGTTGGTCCAGTTAGACTAATATTTGATTTGACTCGTTAATTAATTGATGGTTATCATTAATTTGTGGAATGTATAGGTGACTTGGGTAGAACACATCCACGTGGATGACAAATCTCATCAATTATACAAGGACATAGTTCGTAATACCCAAGCTTATGGAGCCAAGCGATGGGTTGCGTCTTTAGAAAGAATGTGTGAACGTATTGCATTTTCAGCTGGACTGGGAGCTACACCAAGTGAGCCTCAAAGAGATATGCAATAATAATAATTCAAATCTTTATACACACTTTAGGATTTTTTTAAAAAAAAAATTATGTTCATCAAAAAATTAAAAATATGAAATTGTTGTGCTACTACATATTTTTACGTTGTTGCTTTGTTATATAGTGATCAATACAGCACAAAGTAGAGCAGCCATGGGAAAGATTTCGGATAAAATGGTGAAAACGTTTCATCAGATGTTAAGTATGCAAGAGAAATGTTTGGATTCTCCCCAGTTGTCAGAATTTCAGAACAATGGGTTTAAAGTTTCATTAAGGAGATACGATAATCATCCTTCAGCAGCTGGAGCCAATGGGATGGTGGTATGTGCTGCTGCTTCCTTGAGGATCCCAACTTACTATGAAAATCTGTTTAATTTCTTGAAAGATGACCAAGCCAGAGCTCAGGTACTTAAATATCTTTTCCTCATTCTCTGTTAGTGTTAACCAGGAAAAAAAAAGGCACTAAAATGGCTCAACATTTCTATACTAATTTTAAAAAATGTTTTTTTCTGTGGAAATTAAACTATAAAGTGGGAAATTTTTTCCAATGAAAATCCCATTGAAGAAATCGCACACATCCCTACTGGAAGTCATCCGGGAAATGCCATCGTCCTCAAGCAGGTACTTGTATATTTATTTATTTATTTATCATTTAGTTGTATTTTTTTTCAAAGCTCATCAAAAAAAAAAAACCAAAATTTTTTAAAAAAATTAACTAAATGTAATGTGACAGCTTTGTACTAGTACAAAGGAGAATAGCAACATGTTAATACTTCAAGAAAGTAACATAGACGCATTGGGAGCTTCACTGACTTACGCTCCTCTTAAATTCTCCACGGTGACGTCCATAATATGTGGTGTCGACAATCCCAATATTCCAATAATACCCTCTGGCTTCATCATTGCAAATGAGTCTCATCGTGGAGTTGATGGTGGTGGACTTAGTCTCGATGGAACTTCTACTTCTGCTTCTTCGAGTGGATCAGGAGGCGGAATGTCATCGTTGTTGACATTGGTTTCGACGACCCTGATGTTTAATAGTGCTGAGGAATCAAACATGATGGATTATATTGCTGCTACTTATTCACTCATGAACTCTACCATTGAAAAGATCAAGATAGCCATTGGAGTTGATGGCGAGTGAAAAGAGATTTTCAACAGTGTTTGGATATGTAATTTGGATTTAATTTGAAGTATTACTTTTTATCATTGTTAACATTTCATCGTTATTTAGGATTGATGTTTTATTTTTCATTTTTTTCCCCTTGAATTGAATTATTTTAACCAGAATCAAATTCTCGATTTCCTAGTAACAATAATCCTAACAATAATCCCTAACCATTCAAGCCCTTTTCTTGGTATCATGAATCTTGTTTATGAACTCTCAAATAATGTATCATTAATAATTTTCTCTATTTCATATTTTCATTTCTAAAAATTTGTCAAAATGACTGACACAAACTTGTAGGGAAAATCCTATGGGTGCTAGAAAATATACTAATCGTGTAGCACAAGAGTCATACAATATATGCAAGAAGATACACTTCGCACATATTTTATCTTCGTATTTATTGAAAATTTTGTTTTAATTTCTAAGTACTCGTCGGTGGTAACTAATGTTCGATGGCAGCTTTTGAGAAGTTGATAGTTGATGTGGTATTTAATTGACTTGGATATCCGGTTAATACTGCGACTACACAAACGGTAAACTCATCATTTATAGAATATAGTCAGTATTTTGATTTTATCAAGTTGGAAAATGAATAAACATTGAAAACATGATACTTCTCCTGTCCCGAAATTATTTTTCAGTTTCGATTTTCATTTTTAATACAAATTGAACTAAAAAGTGAATATCTAAATTGAACAATAATTTTGAGACCGAGGGAATATATTAAATCCACGAGATATGAAATAATAGTGTAGAAGAATGAACATTACAAACCAGTCAGGATAATTACAATTCTCAATGACACACCCTAACCAAGCCTTGGTTTTTAAATGTGAACGGAGAAACATGCTCGCCCTTTCTCTACCAGGAGGTCAATGGAAAGTTCTATATTGATCTGGAGTTTACTGATAATGAAGAATGCTTATAAAGTTAACAATTAGGTGGATAAACTTTAAAATCACTTTTTTTAATAATTTTGGATAACTTTTTTTTAGAAGAAAATGTAATATTTATTGCATGTAGTAAATCTAATGATGGACAATAGCTCACTTTTAACAATACATTGCATAAATCTATACAATGAAGATGAGCATTTTCTGCATTAATTAGTAAGTATTCTATGAACTTGGCTTTGAGCCTTTGAATTTGCCAATCATGTTTAGTCGGTTATAGTTACGACTTGAATTTAATAAATTTTAACTACATTTATTCTGTAAGTGCATCAATTTAAAGTTTTTTTTTTTTGAAAAAGAATTTAAAGTTCAATTTGTATATAACTCAGTGTAACTATAATTATTATGTATTTCGCTTTTACGTTCTAACAATTTATATAACCGAATGAAAAGAGTACACAAATCAATTTTTTTCCAATGAAGAAGAAAGATCTTAGTTTCTTCCATCTCAGCATACAAGACAAAACCACAATTTGCTTTAATGAAGAAAATTTTCCTTATTCGCAATTCACCCTAAATTTGCATCCGTCGTAATATCAATTCCCAACCCGTAATTGGTCACTTGGCCTCGAAGAATATTCAAACACAAGGACACGATTTGTGTGTGAATTCTACCAAGTACATAGAGAATTACGATCAATTTTCATTCGAGTTATATTTTTATTATTTTTCCATCCTATATTACCTTGAGCATTGTTTTGCATTTGATTAAAAAAAAATTTTGATTTATAGTTTATGATTAATATATAACATTTTACATAACTATGTAACTACTTGAACTAAGTAAGTTGAAATGGTGTTCAACTTGTTTCATAAGGATACTTCGCAGTATAGCACATATCAATTAATTTGATTTAAACACATTTTAATGTACTCCCTCCGTCCCACAAAAGTAGTACAGTTTGATTAAAAAAAATAGTCCAGTTTCAAAAAAATCAAAATTAAAATCGGTAAAAAGACTTAACTGCCCTTCTTCTCCCCCAAAGGCCCAAACGGTACCCACACGTGGTTCCTCTTTCTCCCCCATCTCCATCGCCGGCAGCAATATCTCGCAGATGTAATTGCTCAGAGAATAGTGCCTGAACCACCGTTCTCAGCTGCAGAAATTCGTTCTGCACCGTGTGAGTACAAGCCTCCAACGTTGACAGTCCAAAATTCCATAAATTTGATTTCTCTTCCGATTCTGAAATCCATGGATGTGCATACGGATTAAACAATGAAAAGGTTTGATTTTTCACAAAATCAGATTTAATTTAAGAAAGAAAATTTGGAGAATAATTTGAAACAAAAAATCCTCATCTGCTCCGTATATCGTCGTCGAATTGTCTTGCTTGCTCCGGCGAAGAGACGATGAATTGGTAAAATCCTTCCAGCTTTAAATTAGCTTTGGAAACAATTCCCAACGAGTTACCATCGATCGATTTTCCAACGAGTATCAGTGCCATCGACCTCATACGGCTGCTGTCATGCTCCTCGTCTTGGATACTGCCGGAAACTTCCATTTACTTCCAGTCCTTATCGGAACCGATAAACTAATGCCACTTAAATTTTTGGGGGTAAAAATGGAAGATTACAAGCTAACAATGAGTTGTATCTTGTTGTGTTGACAAAATTAAAAAAGTTGTACATTTTAAAATTGAACTATTTTTATGGGACGGAGAAAATACATTTAACTATTTGTGAAAGAAGAGGACAAAAATTTTTTCATTGCCACTGGTGAGATATAATTCAACAGCGGGAAGCGTAATCTCTCTGTATTTGATTGTAATATTTTTCGTGGTAAAAACAAAATTCTTAGCTGAAACGAGAATTTGTTTGTGTGTGCGCTTGTGTTTTTGAGGCTATTTTGATTGTATTTTTCACGATATAAATAATTGTAGAATCATAATTCATCAAAAAAAATTTCAAACATTACTATTTTTTGTGACAAATGAAAATTTTGGCTAAACAAATTGAATTTCGTCAATTTCGTCACAACCACTAAACCTATTTGCGAGTGGCTTCCACACTAGAGAGTACAATATAACTTGGAATATAGAACAATTGGGCAAGCTAGTGAAATTTAGCTTCAATTCAATTAGTAGATTTTTAATCTTCTCGTTCTACATATCTGACTCTCTGAATTTTGTTTTCATACTGGTTTTAATTCCTCGACTTATTTATTTATTTACTTTTTTTTATATCATAATACTCTCCTTGTCTCAAGAGAGACATTTTTTAAGAGTAGTATATTTTAAGAAAAATATATTTTAATTTAATTTGGAGTGGAAGGAGTGTATTTTAAGAAAATTATTTTGAGATTTGAATCAGTACTGTTCATAAATCCGTTTTTCCTGCTGGAAACAAATATATATATATATATATATATATATATCTTATTATATTAAAAACAAAAACCACACTTAAGAAAAAGCACCACCATTTGGCATTTGGCATTTCCACATCATATTTTTAAAATAAATTTTTGTTTCCACATCTCCTAGACTTAAAAGGCAAATGCAGTCCAAATTGACCTCCACCTCCTATTTTCGCCAATACCAAAAAAAAAAAATCCACGGGTTCAAAAAATCCAAATCCTCATCCCCATCTCCACGACAATCGACTCATTAATCAATCCCTTCGCCCCAATAAAAAAAAAAAAAAACAAATTCCTATCAATCATCAATTGAGAATATATGGTAAAATATACTCTTTTCCTATAAGCATATTCAATTTTTTCATTAGTGATGATCAACTACATCCTAATCGGATCAAATTTCGACTTCAAAAAATATTCTTTTTACCTCTCTATATAAACACAAAGGGAAAAAAAAAAATTATCATTGATCTTGCTTCGGCTGTTGTGGTGATGTCATTACAGGTATTAAAATTTAAATGATTTTATTTCCACAGATCATTTGTTTAATTTTTATTATTTTTTGTTTTTCCTGTTCAAGAATACTGTTATTAATATTATTTTTATGCGTCCATCCGTTACAGCTACCGTAGCCGTTGTCCGATAATATGATGTGATTTCTTATATGGTTAGTTAGCCTAGAATTTTTCTATGATTTTAGTTCTGTTTGGATTGAATTGATTAATTGGGTTTTTGTTACAAAGTGTGGTTTTTTAAATTTCCTTTTTATGTTTCATGCAATTAGAGTGGTTTTCTTTTTTTAATTATGGAGTTTCAGGTTTTTTTTCGTATATGGTTAGTTATAAAGTGTGTTTTTTCTTTGTTTATTACTTTTGATTATGTTTCATACTCTCAGTTGACTAATTATTATAATTATTATTTTATTTTATTTGCAAATGAAGCGCTTTTTTTTTTGTGTACGGGCTTTTAAGAATATACTTTTTTGGATTTGGTTTTTGGATTTTTTTTAGTTCCTCATCATATAAATAGTTCAAGTCGTTTCTTCTAACTAATTAATGGGGAAGCCTTTTATGAATTTGAGATGGAGAGAGAAGGAATGATGTTTCTACGTTTATTTGTGTTTTTATAGATCATTTTTACCTACAGAAAAGAAATGAATTTCTCAATTTTTAATGGGCTATCTTTTACTTTCTTTTTTTTTATTTGTCATGGTGAGGTGAGTTCTTTTTTGCTATAACTTGAAACCTATGCAAATTTACATTATTTTCATTCTCATATTTGTGATCAACCAGTTTCAACAATTAACCAGTTTCAAAATCATATTTTTGATATTTTACTACCTATAAACTTTTGGAAGAAATAGTTCCAACAATTAAGCATATACCCTTTGGAGTTAGCTTACTACAAAACTATTATATAAATCTCCAAAAATAAGTATAGATTCGGCACAACTAATGGAGAACATCAATAAATCATCTTATTAATGTTTAAACTTATTAGGATACTTTTATATTTTGTCTAGCATTTACTTCAAGACAAATATTTGATCAAGTTTATTTATATTTAAGAAGTAACAATTATAAAACATTTCTAAAATCTTCAAAGAGTTCTAAAACGTACCGGGCCAAATACAATTTCTTTTTATGCCAAATACAAACATTTCT